AAGCTGATGATCAGAGCCACAATCAGCTCCAGGTCTTGTTTTTGCTGACTGTATAGAGCTTCTCTATGTTTGGCTGCAGAGAACATAATCAATCTGATTACGGTATTGCCCGTCTGGTGATTTCCATGTATAGAGTCTCCTCTTGTGTTGTTGGAAAAGAGTGTTTGTGATGACCAGCTTGTTCTCTTGACAAAGCTCTATTAGCCTTTGCCCAGCTTCGTTTTGAACTCCAAGGCCAAACTTCCCTGTTGTTCCTTTTATCTCTCGACTCCCTACTTTAGCATTCCAATCCCCTAGAATGAGAAGAACATCTTTCTTTGGTGTCAGTTCTAGAAGGTGTTGTAAGTCTTCATAGAACTGGTCAATTTCAGTCTCCTCGGCCTTGGTAGTTGGTGCATAAACTTGGATTATTGTGATGTTGAAAGGTCTGCCTTGGATTCGTATTGATATCATTCTATCATTTTTGAGATTGTATCCCATTACAGCTTTTCCCACTCTTTTGTTGAGTATGAGGGCAACTCCATTCCTTCTACACGCTTCTTGCCCACAATAGTAGATATGGTAATCATCTGAATTGAATTCGCCCATACCTGTCCATTTTAGTTCACTGACGCCCAGGATGTCAATGTTTATTCTTGCCTTCTCCTGTTTGACCACATCCAGCTTACTAAGGTTCATAGATCTTACATTCCACGTTCCTATGCAGTATTCGTCTTTGCAGCATCGGACTTTCCTTTCACTTTCGGACTTTCCTTGCTATTGTTACATGCCAGCAAATCATCTCCGACTTACATGACCCTATGAATAAATGATCTTCAAAATGTCCTGTCCTCAAAACCCTGCCCAACTCTTGTAAACTTCTTTCTGGAGTCAATCGAATCATGTTTGGTCATCCCTTTTCCTCCTACATTCAATTTTTCCTAGCATTACTGTTTTTGCCAGCACGTCAAGTCTTGCCTTCTCATGATATGCCCTAAATATGACAATCTCTCTTCCAATGTTTTTGCCTCCAGAGATAATTCAAGTTTGATATGTGCTATGACCCATTTTTTAGTGTTTGTGGTGGTCTAGGGACTCCTCAAGGCTCCAGCACCATATATGAAGTCATTCTTTTTTCCTCCCCTATCAGTCTTCTTCACTGCCTAGCTTCAACACCACATATGATGATCCAAGAATAAAAGATTATGGATGATCTTAGCCTTGGTCTCCAGTGACACATCCTTACATTTTATGATATTTTCTAACTCCGTTATTGCTGCCCTTCTGAGTCTCAGTCTTCTTCTGATTTCTTGGCTGCATCTCCATTTCAATTGACGATTGAATCAAAGTATAGAAAATATTTATTTCTATTTTCTTCATGGTCAGCATTAAAGTTGTGTGGCATTTCTATAGTCATGATGTCAGTCTTCTTAATGTTCAGCTGAAGTCCTGCTTTGACAATTTTGATTCTTTCACTTTCATCAGAAGTCATTTCAAGCCATTGATGTTTCTTACACCAAGTTTCACTTTTCCCTCATCTGGATTTAGTGTTGCTTCCTGTATGATATGTTCTGTGTACAGACATGTAAGAGGATAACATGCACCTTTGTCTGACACCTTTTTCTTAAGGGAACCATTATGTCTCTTTATGTTCTGTCCTTATAGTAACTTCCTGTCCACAATACAGCTTTTGCATGAGGACAAACTAATGATGAGGCATACCCATTTCTTTCAGAACTATCCATAGTTTTTCATGATCCAAAGAATCAAAGGCTTTGCTGTAGTCTATAAAGACTGCTGTTCTTCTAAAACTCTTTGGTGTGCACCAGTAGCCAACAAATACTTGCAACTCTCAGAACCGCTATCCATTATTTTCTTGAAATCATGAGAAATGGGTGAGGTGGCAGAGGATTGGAGGAGGGCCAATGTTGTCCCTATCTTCAAAAAGGGCAAAAAAGAGGGACCTGGAAACTACAGGCCAGTCAGCCTGACATCAATCCCAGGCAAAATTCTGGAACAGATCCTAAAGCAGTGTGCATTGTGCAAGCACCTAGAAAACAAGGCAGTGATAACCAGAAGCCAACACGGATTTCTTAAGAACAAATCCGCCAAACGAATTTGATCTCATTTTTTAATCAGGTCACTTCCCTGATAGAGGGAATGCTGTAGACATAGTATATCTTTTCTTCAGCAAAGCTTTTGACAAAGTCTCCCATGATATCCTGATTAGCAGGCTAACGAGGTGTAGGCTGGATAGATCAAGTGTCAGATGGATACACAATTGGCTACAGAATCCTACTCAGAGGGTGATGGTTAATGGGTCCTTCTCTAACTGGGAGGAGGTAACTAGTGGGGGTACCCCAAGGCTCACTCCTAGCTGCAGTGTTCTTCAATATTTTTATTAATGACTTGGATGAGGGAATGCTTGTCCAATTTGTAGATGATACCAAATTGGGCAGAATAGCTAATACCCGAGAAGACAGAAACAAAATTCAAAATGACCTTGATAGGATGGAGCACTGCGC